TTAATTAAACATAGTTCATTTACTTTTAATGCCATTTCTCCAAGAAGATATTATTGTTTTCATCTAAAACTTAATATTTCTATTCATACCCCTCATAAATACATGAACTTTCACTGTGTGTTTTCAAAACACAGAATCAGTTTCTCTTCTACCATCTGTACAAGTCACTTAAAATTTTATTTAAAAGTAACCTATATAGTGTTAGGTTAATTTTCATTTCAATTCTTTAATATGAAATGAGATGCTTTGAATCTCCAAAGCATCAGCTGTGGAAAGACAATAATCTCATGAAAGATAGGTTGAGCATTTTCTCACAAAAGACTGCTCGGCCTACTGATGATTTTACAAAACTCATCTTAATATCAGCCTTTAACAAAGTGAAAACTAGAACAAAATGTTGATGATAGAGGCTTTTGCTATGTTTATAATGATGATCTTTTAATATCATTGAATAGCATTTGTTGAGAGGAAAGTCTATCTCTCTTACTATTTTCATTATTTTTTTCAAATAAGAAATATTTCTTCTGTTTTCTCTAATAGTAGATATACCAGCACTTTTTTCTACAAAATAAAAGGTTAGGACTAAATATTTTCAATTGGCCTGGTCTCTAAACCTGTTTTGCATCATCCATTCTCCACCGGTTGTTTAACATATTTTTATCAACAAATTAATGTGAACTATTATCTTTTTTGGTATGTTTCATTCAAAAATACAAAAACACTACACTAAAAGTTAATTTCAATGAACAGAAGATTTTTTTCTTGCATTTTGGGGTTGATTGGAGATTCTCATATGGAGCTTGTGCTTGAGGAATGAGTTTCACATTTGTGACAAGCTGCTTCTGGGACTACTCTGTTTCTTTTCTTTTGAAGAAGAATGGATTTGGTTTGATTTTTCTCAAAACAAGTACAAACATATCCATTCTGTAAGTACCTGTAGTTAAAGTAGCATCCTCTTCTTTTTGTAGCATTCCTTAAAATGACCAAAGTTAGAGTTTATCACATATTAAGAAATGTACACATCTGTCATGAATGTACTCCAATTGTCCCCTGATATTCTTCTTCCTACATCTGGTGATATGCATTTCACAAATTCTGTACATGGAGTTTGGGCCATCTACCTGACTGTGATGATTTTGCCTTCATTGGTGTGTGGGCTGTTTTGTCCTCTTTCTCTTTCTAGGTTTCCAGCTGAAATTTAACAAGAGTTGTAGCATGCAGACCAATATTCTCATGAAGCTAAACAAGTATTTCACTCTAGCAATATTTCTTCAAAAACTTGATTTTCTTTTTTAGCTTAAAGTAAAGGCAAGGCCAATATTGATGCCCATCATTGTAATGTTGACTTGTAAATTACAGGAATGCAGGCAAAGATTTGCTGTTTTATGCAAATATCCTAAAATGCATACTACATTCTACACTTGAAATCTGCTATTGTATAAGGTCATAGTGTGCATAATATACAGATTATATTCCTTTTTTCTATGAGAAGAATATGTAGCCTCTTTCTTCACCTATACTCTGTGTGCCTGAAATGCCGTAAGGACCCATATTTGAAGGGACTCTGCTGGGGCCCCTCTCACCCAGTACTGCTGGTCTCATCTCACTTCTAACATTCTCTTTGACTTCTTCACTATTATCACTAAGTTTTGTTTTGTTTTACTTTCCATGAGCTATCCACTTGGATTTTGATAGCTTTTTTTTCCATTCATGTGTGACTCTTTTCAAAACTTTCAGGTTATTTTCTCTGTGATTCATTTGGATGTTATTTTCATTTTATCAACAAAATCTATCACTGCTTATCTCTGTGATTTATTGTTTTTATTTTAAAACATTTCACTGAGAGCAGCTAATTTGTGTACTTTTAAAAGTGGAAATTTTGTGTTTGCCTTTTTAGGTGAGGCAGGTCCTATCTCAGCACTGCCACTCCTAAGAATTATATTTGAGGAGTGTCTTATAGATCTTCCTGTGGACTAAAGGAGCTGCTGTCCTGTCCTCTGTTCCCCTGAGCTGTGCTTAGCCTGGCAGGTATGAGCTGGATGAGGTATAACTGCATGGGAACACTGCCTGGTCATTTCTGGTATCCCATTTTCATGTTCACATTCTTAAGAATATATTTTCTAGTAAAATTTTAGTGCAGAAGTAGCTTTATAACATTTTGTATAACATCTACAAACAAATACAAGATCAAGCTATGGGCAGTGTGTTTTGCTAGTATTGTTGTATGAGCCACAAAATTTTGAGATGGCTGGATAGTTGGACTTATTTTCTGTCATGTTTCTAATCCTCCATGTGAACTAATAGTATAATTGTGTGCTCTTGAGTATAGCACTTTCCAGTATTAATGCTGCAAAGAAAGGAGATTTGCTTCTGCTACAAGAAGTTTTCCCAGTTTCTGCTAAGAACCCAGGGCTCCCCTGACACCCTGAATGTTGAGCACAGTTAGAGCATGTGCACACATCTCCCACCTCAAACCTACTATGCATTAATACTGTATTTTCTTATAACTCTGAGAAATTCTTATAAGAATATATTTCTATTCCTCAACTTGTAGAAGATTCATGCATGCTTCTTGCCCAATTTTCAAAATTGTTTATCAAACTCAATTTATGAAAACAGAATAAAGTCAAAGTTTGAATTTTGCAAAAAAAAAGACAAGTTTATGCTTTATAATTTACTGTTTATTTCACATATAATTCTTTTAAAATACTATGTAGATACTGTTATATACCAATTTAAGGTAATGTCTTTTAAACATTGTAATGACATATATTATAATTTCCATGGGATAAATGTACAGGAAATAAGAGTGTGCCATTTATAAAAACATAAAAGACAAAGCAGACTACTGAGGACTCTGAAACCCACGTGAGTCAAAGACCTCTGATGGTCATATACACGTTTTTCAATATTCACCCTAAGCAAATGACAGGACCAAGCATTTCTTTGCTCTGTAACTGAAGAAGATTGTTACCTTTCTTTACCAATACTTTAGGAAAGATGAAAGAAAAAGAAAACGGTTTTCTTCTTTTACAATGACAATTATGTTTTTAAATATAAAATTTCATGGAACTGAGATACATCCTTATCTCTGATTTTCATATTGTAATCACATTTTCCTTGTGTCTCAACAGTACAGCTTTCACTCAGTTGCTTACATAGCATATGTTGTAAGTATCTATGGAAATAATTTTAACCTGTGATGTTGAAATGATTAGTCATAGTGACAATATGTTGGTATACCTATGTGTCTTGCTCACTTTCTGTTATTGCTGAGACAAAATACCTGACATCCATAATTACCAAAGAAAGGTTTATACTGCTCATGGTCTTGGAAAATTTCAGCCCATAATCAATTGTCTCCAAAGCATAGTGGCACATGGCAGAGACCACAAGTTCGTGATGGCAAAAGTAACAAGAACAAAAAGGCTAAGCAGCAGGAAGAAAGCTTCTTTCCTTGCCTTATATTGTATGCAGGTTATCAGTCACAGGACAGGTGTAACACTAACATCCATAATGCCAGAATTGGACCTTGAATCCATTAAAAACTCAGGAATCCCATGCCATGACTGAATGACACTTTGGAGGGACACCTAAACACAAACCATAACACCATGTTATCATGTTAGGAGCTTAGCATTAAAGCTTTATAAAGTCTGATGTAAAGTAAATACCTACATCACACTGGGAAATATATGAGAAAGTTTACTGTCACCAAATTCTATACTACAAAATTTACACTTATAAAATTCTGAGGAGCTATCCTTTCTTGTTCAAGGAAGGCATAAATATTTGGACTTATTTTGAACTACTTGCAGGGTGAGAATGTTTGCCACTCATGTAATTACACACATGAGGAATAATCTTCATAATTTTCTTAAAATATGGATACATTTAAGATTCTCTTTCCACATGATCGTGATAAGATGAAAAGAAATTTAAAATCCATGGTCTTAACAATAAAGAATAGGCCAGAGAGATAGCTCAGTGGAATAAGTGCTTCCCTGGCAAGCACAAGGGTCTGAGTTCAATCCCTGGTTCCACAAAAAAAAAAAAGAATAATTTCAGTGTCATTACTGATCTAGGATTGCACTTCATGAGATTCTTGAATATATGAGAACTATAGACTTAAAAAATTTTACTTTCACATGTATCATAAACAGATATTGTTAAGGATCTGCTGTTTTGATCATTTATTATTAAACTTTCAGGCTGAGACAGAGGCATAATATCTTGTAAAGCCAATTAAATATTCTTAGTTTTATGCTTCAGAAACTATGCAACAATGTCAACAGCATCTGACATTTCATTCATCTGTCAGTCTCTCTTCAAGTTTGGTACATTTGTACACATTATATCTCTAGGAAATCCAGAATATGTTTGTCACTATTTTACTGGCCATATGAGTTAGATGTGTGACTTGACATTTCAAATCCTGCATTTGTTAGATGTCAGATAATAGGTGTAAATCAAACCCATTTGACTTTAGAATATACTAAGAAACATTTGATAGCTATGAGTATTCATTTGAATGATAAAAAAGCAAAACAGAAAGATGTCACTTACAAAATACTTTTTTGCATACCTATCTTATGAGCAGTTACTGCTTCAGAGGACCTTACATTCAGATGTAGGCAGATATGATCTTCAAACTTCCACAAAGGAAGTAGAGCTCTTAATATGCAGATAACACTTTCTCTAATTTCTACAGATGCAAAGACAAAAAGCACTTTATGTTTTACGAAAAAAAACTAAAAAGTGAAACCAAACTGCATCCCTACAACAATTTTTTCAAAGGTGCTGTGGATCCCTTAAAGTGAGATACATAATCACCCTGCCATCAAGAAAGGTGAGCTCAGAAGGAGAAAGGATACAAGGGGAGGGATCCAATGTTCAGGTGAAGGCATAGCATTGGCCAAGATGATGATGGTGGGGATGTCTGTGATAAATAATTCTCTTGCTTTTTTCTTCCAGACTCCTATTGTTTTTCTCTTGCTGTGATGGTGAAGAAAAAGAGTAAATTCTCCAAGTTTTTTGACATAAGAACCACTGTCTTCTTTGTAATAGCTATTGGCATCTCAGCCAATACAGTCCTGCTTCTGTTCCACATTCTTACATTCCTCATCAAGCACAGGACAAAGCCCCTGGACCTGACTATGGCACAGTTGGCCTTAATTCACCTGGTGTTGTTGGTAACCATGGGCTTCATAGCTACAGACACTTTTGAGTCTCACGGTTGGGAGGATGCCCTCATATGTAAATTGGTTATTTATTTGCAAAAGTTGATGAGGGCCCTCTCCATCTGTACCACCTGCCTGCTGAGTGTCCTCCAGGCTATCACCCTAAGCCCCAGAAACTTTTGCTTGGCGAAATTGAAACATAAATCCTCACATCACTACCCATACTGCCTTGGGTTTTTATGGCTCTTCAATATGATCCTGAATACTCGTTTCTTAGTCTCCATTGGTGCCAGCCCCAATATGACATCAGAAAATCTCGTATTTGTCACCGAATCCTGCTCTCAGTGGCCCATTAGTCACTTTTTCAGGTACATATTTTTCTCATTGGTGAACATTCAGGACATCTCCTTCATAGGGCTGATGGCTCTTTCAAGTGGATACATGGTGAGTCTCTTGTGCAGGCATAAGAGACAGCTCCAACACCTTCACAGCACCAGGAGTTTTCCAAAAATATCTCCAGAAGAAAAGGCCACTCAGAGTATCTTGCTGCTCATGGGTTTCTTTATGCTCATGTACTTTTTGGACTGTGTTACTTTCTCATCTCGTGCTATACTGTGGAACAATGACCCAATTAATATTTGTGTCCACATGCTTGTGGGCAATGGTTATGCCACAATCTGTCCTTTTGTGCTAATGAGCACTGAAAAACGAATGATTGAGTGCTTACCATTCAGGTGGAAAAGACTATAAATGATCAAGTATTTGGTGATGCAAAATTTCCTTTCAGGTAACCAAATGCTTGGAATTTCTTATCCATCACTGAAATATATTTATTTTTATCTTTCTGTTAAGCAAATACACTTTGATGAATTTAGGTTTTACATACATAAGAAGTAATACAGCAGTATAACTCCTCAAAGAAATACAGGCTTTTAAAAAAACAGAAATACAGGCTTGCATTCCAAGGATGTTCATATCATATGGTGTGCTCTTATGCAGTATCAAACTCTAAAGTGTAGGATGTACGTTATGGCTTCAGGGCATTGAAGTTATGGGCAAAGACCAGGAACAAAAAAAGCAGGTAGAGGCATTAAACAGAAAATGCTCAAAGTCAACATGCAAGGACTTTTTGGTATTTATAAGTTTCTATGCTTTTCCTTTACAATGTTAATTTGATTCTAGAGAATCTCAAAAATGTATTAAAATTAAACAGAATTATATAAATATGTATCCTTGATAAAGATACTGATTACTTTAAAAGCTAACTTAATATTATGTACATAATAGAAAAATATGTCTTCAGATATAACTAACCTTTTAGAAAATACTGCACTATTAGTTATGGACATACATTTGGAAAATTCTCCATAAAATTTAAACTCAATTTTTTTTCAGTATTAATTTATTGGACTTGATTTAATGATAATAGCAAATCACAATAAGCTAATAGCACATTTTTGTCCTCTTTAGAAAAATTTATAAACCTATATGAATAACATATATAAATCTCAACTATATAAATATAAATATATGTCAAGTTATATGATATAAATTAAGCTTTTCAATTCTCTGTGTATTCATCACATGCCCAAAAAGTAACTTATATTATATCTATACATTTTTCAATAGTTCAACAATTATACTTTCAGTTTTAGTGTTATTTCCATTTTAATAAACTGAAGTAGAAATATTCAAAACATTGTCATAATAATATAAGAATCAACACAGAATGCACACATGACATTTTCAAAATTTTTCACACAGCTTTAATTTTTAAAATGTATTGTGTTTTTCTGTGTCTGAGAATCTTAGTCCTCTAAATTTTATAATGTCAATATGATAGCTGCAGGTGACAAGAAAAACTAGTCAGGGCCAAAAATTTCCTTCTTGATTTAGGCAAGTATACATTTAAACACTTTGAGTGTTTAAAACTGTAAAAGTAAACACAAATTCCAGTTATGAAAAGTTACTTCCTGGCTGGGGAGATGGCTCAGTAGAATAAGTGCTTGCCTGGCTATCACAAGGGTCTGAGTTCAATCCCCGATTCCGCAAAAAAAAAAAAAGGAAAAAAGAAAAAAAAGAAAAGTTACCTCCAGCCAAAATTGGAGAGGGTATAAAATGGATCCAATAGTTCACAAATTATGCAAATAAAAAGATTTAATTAGTAAAAATGGGGTTGTTACACAAATGGAATAATACTATTTACTGAAAGAATAGCAGAAGTTTTTCTAAATATGCTAGAAGAATTTAACATGAACATAATTGAGGAGGCCAGCCAAATAGCTCAGTGAATTAAAATACTGGCAAGCAGGCACAGGGGCCAGGTGTTCGATCCCTGGGCATGCTGTGCTGGCCCTACCCTCGGGGTGTGCTGAGAGGGTAATTGAGACTGGGCATGGTGGCACGTGTCTGTAATCCCAGCTATTGGGAGGCTGTAAAAGGCGGATCACGACAAGTTTGCTCTAGTGATGAGACACTGAACACCCTGTAGACCCTTCCCTAAAATACAAAAAATAATAAGGGACCAGGGAGATACTCAGAGAATAAGCGTTCACCTGGCAAGCACAAGGACCTGAGTCCAATCATTATTATTATTATTATTATTATTATTATTATTGAGGAATAAAGAACCTCAAATAACTATAAGAAGAAAATACCCTCTTCATGCCCCAGTATATCCAAAGCCTCATAGGTTCAACTGAAGAATACAAGATTTAAAGTTATTAGGAAATGAGGAATAAATCACATAAAAGAAAACATTATAATTACAGCAGACTGCTAAAGACAAACTGTAAGGCCAAGAGACTTTGTAGTGAAAGGCTTCAAGCCCTAAAAGAAAGGAATTTCCAACCAAAACTGACATATCCTGCATGACAATTTTTCGCAATTAGTGGAGAAATAAGATCCTTACATGATAAGGAGTACCTAAAGCAACCCATTACCAACAAGCCACCACTAGAAAAAATTCTCAAGAATACCCTAGAAATAGACATTGACAGGTTGGGGAGATAGGTTCCAGTACCTCTAATTAAATT